TACAGTGAGTACCTGTCCATTTTTCCCCGTCATGAACCGTTTGCTCTCTACTCAACGGAATTCATTATTTAAAAAAATGTTTCTCTTACTGCCTGCTCAATACAAATCAAACGCATACAGGAAAATACATATGAAGAGAGAGAGAGAGAGAGAGCACGAGTTTTGTGGGATTGCCAATGTCTCCTTGTTTACCGGTACGTCATTTGCAAACACAGAAATTAATCACCCACCCACCCCCTGCGCCGCAGAAAATAATGTCCATTAGATCGTCACTAATTCGCATTCAATTCACGGTTGCTTGTGACTAATAGTGTGACATAACTGATATTGATTTGAATTGACCAGACCGTATCCTTCACGCACAATCCCCACTGTGCAGTCCAGTCAGTCATACACTCGGAAGTACTAGACTCAAGTTTCGCTCTTATTAGAGCTCATCAATGCTGCATATCCACTGTCCCGTATGGGCTTTGAACTCCGAAGTCATCCTGCGTGGAAGGCGTGTGTGTTTGCCCAGTGTCAACCAGATCATACCAGGGCTGAACCGGATTGCTAATTCATATTTGTTCCGGGTGTAGTCCTCAGTCCTCACATCTCTGCAAAGGCCCCCCCCCGTGCCACTTATTTCCGATAGTTGTGCGATGAAATATTCTTTGAATGTTTCCATTTGGTTCACTCCTAAACCACTGTCTCCTGTTTTGGGATAAATCGTGTCCGTGGATTACAATACTGCACACAATTGCTCTGAAATAGGATTCCAGGCGATCTATGGAACAAGATTTCTCGTGCATCTGAGGAACGGTAGTTTGGTTCATTCGCCTCCTCTGGAATGCTTTGCTGAGTGCATAGACTAGAACAGTAGGTGATGATCTAATCACCGGGGCCGCCATATCTCACCTCTGGACCAAAAACACGGTGTTCTCGAGCTCCGTTGCTGCTCGTACAAATTCCATGATTCGGTGAACCAGTATCCATTTTATTCATGGCTAACCACCACATTTCAGTGATAGATCCCCTGCCTCACTGACTCGGACATGTGTGAAGTGTCATCGTAACCCATAGAATCCAGTAATAATAATAGCAATGATGTCTGAATGAGACGGAACATAGTACAGTCTCATAGGTTTCCTACCACCACAATTCCCATTCGGTGTTGTCAAATGAATCGTGGTTGGTAGAATTAAAGAAAATTGCCCAACCCCCGTCACGCCTCCCGCATTTTCATCTCTGCCAGACAAAATACGCACCATCACGCGAGCGGGTCGTTGGATGGCTCGGCTTCCATTGCCGGCTCGTTTCGCTCGAATGCTTTTGTTCGCGGATCAACATCAGCTCATGCCATACGCGGTCATTCTGGTCGCTGCTCTCTCTGTCCCCGATTTGTTTGTGACCAATATACAACCAACTGAACCGGATACGGTCGAAGAGAAATCGGAAGGTCAAACCAAATCCACCATAGAAGATTTTCGGGCTAATTTCGCTCAACAATTTGTCCGGCGTGTGAGTCCCCGTTTGACCACCTCGGTTGCTTTCCATTTTGTATCAGCGTCCAAGTACGCGTTCTTAATTGTTCTAACAATGGACTGTTTGCAAACCTCTTTTTGTCTATGATACTGACCGTTTTTCAGACCTCATTTTTTGACACTTCAATTCACTCAGTAGAGCTCTGTACCAAACTCGAGATTTCCCAACGCTGTAGGCGTTAAATTGTGGTAGACAGCTTTGCTGTGGTCCGCGTCGATACCACGCCTAACCTAGCGGGGCCTTATATGGTTCACCACTCCAAATCACGCGAGGTTTAGGTCACCGGTTTCCATCATCGAACAGCAGGTTCACGTGACTGGGGTTCAGTCTGTCTGTTGTTCGTCACACGAAAGTAAAGTTTGCGATAAAAAATCTTCCTATTCGTCCCGTGCATGAAGCGAGTATTGCTACCGTGACAACTGCCTCAGGCCAGAAAAAAAAAATCGGAATTTTGAAGATTAATTTGTGCCTACTTCTCAGAGATACTGTCGATTTCTCTCATGTAAGGATTTCTGCGTAATGACCTAGGCCATTTTCAAGACAGAATATTGCCGATACTCACAAATCGAGGTGATAGATCGGTAGACCGATTGTGATATCTAACCAATAAGCCCTTCTATCCTAAGCTTGTTTCTGATCATACATATGTATCAACCGACCAGTTATAACCCGCTCATCAATCGGAATGTTGCAGGTTGCTGTTTAATGAGACCTTATATCTATCTGTCTCATCTACACTCTCTGGTAAGGATGAGGGTGGGGGGGGTAGTCCTCAATAAGACCACATAGTTCACATGGATAATGCTACGTAACAATGTCGAAACAATTATGCATTGCTCTGCAATCGTGAGCACTTTTCTCCTCTTTTTTGCTATTTATGATGAGTTTCTGTCGTATAATGTCGTCTTACGGAAATTGATCTTGATCCTTTTTTTGTCGGCCCTCCCACACACACACGTGCTGTACAGAAAGCTGATTTGTATTTTGGAGATCTATCTGTGCTTTTGGGCACGGTTTGTTGCCTGGAGCGCTATGCCGCCCAACTTCACGGACTGTCCGACCCTGAGCCTGGTATCCTGGAATTTTGTGGCGGTCGGAAACAAGTCTCACGTGATCCAGACGCCGCATTGCGCATGCTAACCGAACGTTGCGGGGTGCGTTGGAACGCGTACAAAGAGATTCGACAATTGCGACGCCAGTTGACAGATATCCGTAGGTATTTTTTTATTGTTCATTAGTTCCTCTTCTCACCTGTAACTGAATATTTTCGTTCCTAAAATACAAACAATGTCTCCGGTTCTTCCTCGAGTTGAACTCTCCATGTGTGTTTTTTTTTACCTTCACGAACCCTACTCTTGTTCCCTCTGTTCCAAGTGAATGCGAACATTCCGGATCTGGGTTTGGCGTTAGATCTCACGCTTCCCCGACCCACACCAGATCAAGTGCAACAATTGAGACAACTGTTCCTCGTCGGGTCCCCGTGTCATCTGGCCACCAAATTTGATCTCCCCGTCGAAGGTCTGCCGGCGAAAGATCGTAAGCGTTTGCGTCATGCATATCGAGTAAGTGTGATCCGGATTTACAATGGTCCGAATTCTGTGTCTATCACAATGCATGAGTTGTTCATCTTTTTGAATTTTCTCCCGTGCGTGCAAAACCATCCAACTATACTGATTTCGGGCTTGTCCATGATACATATAACGGTAATCGATGAGCCTCTCTTATGTGAACTGCTTTTCTAATTCTATCCACTGTTTATCAGTGTTTGAGATGCGATTGTATTCCGATCGAGTGATCATCGTGAGAACACAAGGTTACAAACAAGTTCCTTTTCGATGCTACATGAACAGTGTAATTGATACCAGGTTAAACAGGTGGCGAGCGGATACAAATCTGCCCGCACACACACACCAATTTCCACAATTCCATCACCTTCTTCTACGTTCTGATTTCCTTCGCACACACGTATCCCCCTTCACCAACTGTCTAATCTATGACAAATTTCTTGGTATTTAACCAATTGTTGTTTGCTGGTTCACTTGTGTTCGCATGCTTATTCGGTGTTTCTGCTTGTCGCACACGTTACCCTGATACAAACCAGGATATACCATATCAACCAACTGAATCAGTACCGTTTCGACGATGCTCTCCCCGAGTGTGCCGGTACCGGGACGATCAGCTTTTAAGCTCATTTTTTCCCCGGTCACTGAATGAAGAAAACAAGAGCAAAGATATTGAATGATCAGTTCAAAGGCCTGTCCACTTTGTTCTTCTTTCTCTAAAACGTAATCAGTTCATTTTTTTCACAATCGTACATTTTCATGTGCCGGTTTTGGTTAGTCTTTCGGTTGACTATTTGCAAAAGAAAAACGAGTATAATGAAGATTGGAATGTGGAGACGGGAGTGATGTGTGCGGAGAAAAATGAGTGAAAGCATGAGCACTATTGTTTGACACCCAGTCATGTGACTCAATGTCTCCGTCCAGGAAGCCTAATGACACCTTGATGAATCAGTTTCCGGATTGAGGTTTTTTCCTCTTATCCTCATTCCAGCCAGGTCTTACGTTGACCACTGTCGATCGTTTTTCCATCGGCTACCTGCCTCGGCAAACATCGCTCGCCGTGACAAACTGTTTAGTGATATGTGCCATACATGTCCCGGACGTAAAATCTCCTGGCGGTTAGAATCACAACCAGTTAATCAAGTATGTATGAAAATGATGTATGTAGACCACCGATCAATGTACAATGTGTGTGTGTGTTACACATGTGTCACAAAGACCATATGGTACTCCGTTCAGTCATTTTTTCCTATTCCAAGTCAACATGACTAATTACGTTTGCTGCGTTTGGATTATGATCGGATTGTTCGACCCGTGCAAGTATCACCGCCCGTGCATCTGCATAATAATAATAATAATAATGATTATTATTATTGTAATATTGATTTGACCACATTCAAAGGATTCTGAACAATGGTAAAATCAAAATTCCGGAGGATTCCTTTACGGTCACTTGAGGACGACCAGCTACTGCTTACGAAATTAGGGCTAGGTTCGAACACACTTTCCGTGATACAATGGACTAAATGCCTAATATCACACGATGATGGCCTCCATTCTGGAAACACGTTAGACGGTGTGGACGGGGGCTCGTTGGGAACAGACTGCGTAGTGGTTTCATTTTTATGGACAACAGTAAGAAAACAAATTCATATCTCCCTCAGAACGCCACACATACTCAACCGAGAGCTCTTGCCCATTTCAACACGTCGTGCACTGTTCTCCAATTCTCGTTGCTCTTTCACTTCCAATAGTTCCCGTGTTTTAGCAGACGAGTTGGGAATACTACGATCATGAATAACACAGCTAGCCATCTCTGGTTGTCCAGTCCACTCACCTCCGTTTTACCCGGACTGCTGACAGCGAGCATTGCAAGTACGCTGCCTTCATTTCCTCACAGTGTCATTTTATACCGTTTGCACAGATCCCAGTGTAATTCTCTCGCCTCCGCAAGTGGTTTACTTTTCAATCACCCATCCCTCTACGTTATTGCCTTTCACAGGTACCCGGTGTTCGCGGCCCCGTATTCGTTGACCCCAGTTCCCCTCTCGCTCGAGAAAACTATCCGTATCTGGCATTTTTGGAATTGCACAAATCGGCCAAACCATTTTTGCGCAGTACGTCCAAATCTGTGTAATCTTTTTTTATTAC